CTACAATTACCGGGTAAACTAGGTGTTGTTGTTGTTTTACCTGAGAGCCAGGTGTTATCAATTCCCTCCATAATTACACTGGGTTTGATAACATTCTCGGTCATCATTATCTACTTTTATTTAGCCCCGTGATTATTTTTTTTGTCCTTTTTATGTGACTTTTTTTCAAATGAGCAAAACTGTAATTATGTATGATTATCATACTATTTATGTCAAAACACAATTTACTTCTAATTTTAGTCCAATTGTTAAATTGCACTTCAATATACGTTTATGAAAGACGTTGTCAATTGTATAATTTAACTTGAGTCATGTACATGCTTGGAATGGTTTATATAGAAACGTATAAAAGGTCAATATAAAGAGTTTTTTGTCAAATTTGGTGAATTATGACAGGTGAGTTATTCCCCTTTGTAACACTGTATCCTCTTTTGGAGGTCATAATTAACCAATTACCTTCTACAGGTGTGACATACTTAAATATTTCCAGAAGTTTTAGAATATTTGTCGATTCATTCGAGATGGATCAGATTTCCTTTAACCCTTTTGTGAGAGCAAACATGGTTTACTTAGTGTGTGTAGGATTAGACGCGCGCAGGTGTAATACTGTTTGAGAAGAAATTCAATTACATTGAAATTACCTTTACCAGAGGTGTTTGGGAAATTGTGACGATAATACCAAAAGCTGGATATTGAAAGAAAAACTAGTTCTCGGTCCCTCCCCACGTTGCAAAGTTAACCTTATATGAATTGTAAACATATATCATATCATTATCGGATGACTTTCTATTTTATTTCGATCCTATTTTAATAACAATGCCGCCATTCAATCTTAACCGGTACATGTAGCAGGTGGACGGATTCATTATCCGCCGAGTTTTCGTTTAATAGTTTGTAGGCTGGTCCCTTTTCCAATAAGAAGTGATTTCGAATGAAAATAGGATTTTATATGTTTGTATTTCCCCTATTATTACGCATTCAAACCTGCCTGATCAATCACATATACACAACAGTGGGTATCGTTTTCGTTAGAATCGCTCTTTATACAATAAACATGTATGCATATATATGATGCAAACAAAACTTGATTTAATGACAGAGAGACGATACACACACAATCCATCTATAACAGATTTAAACTCGCACACCTGTTAAATTTTGAAGTTACTCATATTTCATTGTAAAAAATATTGACACCAGTTTTCACATTTTATAAATTCATTAGATCGGTTGATTGCTGTGACGTAATAGATCCAATCATTAAACAACGTGTACAATTTCTCAATTGTCTGGCCCATATTTACGAAGTTCTCTGACCACCACAGGCTTACGTAGAAGAAGTAAATATCAAAGTATCTATTAAGATAACAAAAGTATAAATTTTTTCCGACATTCAGACTTATTTTGAGCCTATTGTGATGGTATTCCGTTTTCTTTATTTTTTAATACACTCAAGATATTTTACAAAAGTGCTCCAATGATTTTTTAAAAATGATAAAGTTTTGATGATAAATATCATATAAAACATCTTTTAATATCGGAATAGTCGCTTTAAAGTATTTTCATTTCTCTTCATTGTTGGTACTGTCAATGGTAAAGCTAGTTTGGGGAGTTTTACAACACTAGATGTTCCCATAATGACGCGTATACCGAAAGGGGCTATGACCCTCAGATAAACAGAAGGGGCTGGTGAACTGGGCATTTGGGACAATGAGACAGGTGGGATGACGGGCCAGGCGGCTAAAAGGGGCCTTGGCACCTGCCTACCTTTGAGTATTATAGAAGAAGCTGAAATATTCATTTAACGTTTTATTAACTTGTGACCGTGAATGACTTGGTATCATTAAAACGCACTGTAGCTTTAGCGCAAGGTGTATCTGTACAAGCATGGAGGAGGGGGGCCCTCATGGTGCATAATACCCCGTGCCATATCATATAATCGGCCAGCCACACGAGACCCTCACGTGCGCTCGTGCCGGTGAAAGTGAATGGTCCCCGTGATCCCACCTGTTGGGGAGGAGGAAAACGACGACGACGAGAAGGGGGCAGTATCAAATCAAAACCGGAGAGGGCGGGAGACGAAATATTTTTTTAAGAAAAAACTTAGGCTTGTGGGGTAGGTTGAAATCCATCTTTATGGCGGAGTGGTGAGAGGTCTCTCTATGGAGGAGAAGGGATCAGTGGGGGATCAGTGCGTGTGTGTGGGTGGGTGTGGGTGTGGGTGTGTGTGTGGGGG